CTCCACTACTGCTGGAACATGCCGAGGACTGAGCTCAGACCGGATCTTGGCCATGATTTGAGTTTTCAGTTCTTGGCTGAAAGGCTTGCCGGGAACCATGACAACAAAAAGGCACACCGTCTCGTCCCTGTCCGTTTCCCTTCTACGGCCGACACACACGGCATCTTCAACCTCTGCGGCGAAGAATCGAGTGAGGATATTGTAGATTTCTGCAGATCCGAACCGAACGCCGGCAGGCTTCAAAACGCCGTCGGATCGGCCCAGCATGACCAGACTTCCGGTGGACGGATCGGGAATCTTGACAAAATCCCCGTGGTGCCAGACGGGGCCTTTGACGCCGCAGACGTTTTCGAACCGCTCAAAGTAGGCCGACCTGTACTTGGTCTGGCCATTGGCGCCGAAGAAGGTCAGTGGTTGGCAGGGGAATGGTTTCACACAGACCAAATCGCCCTGCTCCCCCGGTGGCATGTCCTCTCCTGAAATGGAGTCTACCACACGAATGTCCATTCCCAGACCAGCACATTGAATCTGACCAACTCTGACGGGCAGTAGAGGACATGGGGCGCCAAAGAGGGAAATAATATCAGTGCCGCCAGTAATGGAGGCCAGATTGACCGTCTTTGGGAATGCCTCGTATACGAACCTAAAAGTTGACGGGGGTAGCGGCGACGCAGTAGAATAGATGGCCTCCAAGCGTGACAGGTCAATGCTTGCGTCCTCAACAGGGCGAACGTTGTTGGCCTCCAACGCTGTGAGATACGCAGCGGATGTACCAAAATGGGTCACTTTGAGCTGAGAGAGGAGTTTGGGGAGCGACATGTGCGAGCTTGGGCGGAACGGGGATCCAGAGTAGAGCACCAGAGTAGTGCCAACGGCTAGGGCACCGACACTCCAGTGCCACATCATCCAGGAAGTTGTGGTGTAGTACAACATGCGCGAGGCGGCAGTCATGGAGCAGTGCAGCATGTGCTCCTTCTTGTGCTGAAGGAGCGTGCCCAGCGCAGTATGAACAATAGCCTTGGGCAGCCCAGTGGTTCCACTGGAGTACAGAACGTAGAGGGGATGCGAAGGAGGCAATTGCTCAAACTTGATGGGGTCTGGGGGCGCGTCTCTTAGAAAAGACTTGTAATCGAGGGCCGTGACGCCTTGGGACTTGATATCTTGGATGCCGAGATCGGCGCTGATATTGTCAATAACGACGACCAGCTCAAGACCAACGCCTTTTAATGCTGCGGCAATCTCGTTGGTTTTGGAGGTACTTGGCCACTCCTTGCCATTGTAGACGGTGCCGTTGTCAGCAAACAACACCTTTGGGCCGATCTGGGCAAGACGATCTAGTACAGCGGAGACGCCATTGTCCGGGCTGATGCCAGTCCAGATGGCACCGATAGATGCAGCAGCCAACATGGCGACGACAGCCTCCTCGTGGTTGGACACGTAGCCGGCAACAACATCTCCAGACTGCAGGCCGGCGCCGCGGAGGGCATTGGAGCATTGCCGCACAGATTCACGCAGCTGACGCCATGTGGTTGGCTTGATGTCTCCCGGCAGCTCCGTGGCGGTGATGACGGCAACACTGTCCGGGTCGATGGGCCAAGTCGGGCAGAAGAGGAGGTTCTCGGCAAAGTTGAGGCGAGCGGCTGAGAAGAAGTCGGGGCGAGGGTACATGGGCGCATTTTCCGGCAGGGCCTTGGACGAGAGGGTTAGAAGCAACAGGACCGAAAGGACTGACGATGCCCATGGCGGGAAAAGGACCAACCTACCTTGTCGGCCTTTTTGGAAGCCACGATGCCCACAAAGTCCCAGACCTCTTCCCAAAAGGAAGACACGCTGTCGACGGACCATTGGTACAGTCCGGGGTAGCCATTGATGCTCAATGCATGCTTCTTATTCACCTGCTGGATGAACTGCCACATTGGCGTATCGCCAGGAGCATCGTGTTTCCAGAGTTCATCGGAGGCATTGCGACTGTCGATGTATTCGCCCATGGTGAAACGACGTGGGATGTGGCACGACGTGGGTGTGTGCGAGAGCTCTGTTGCGACGAAAACCGGCGATCAACGACCGACATGGAGTCGGAACCTTGAAACGTTTACCGTTGGGAGGCCGAGAGTGAAGGTAATGGTGACTCGTGAGTTGTGAGTGCGGGTGGGGGAGGGGCAGCTGCAAGGGCGCCCGCCGAACACAAGCTTTTTGTTGTTGTCGACGAGGTAGGAAACAGGCACGGGTGTGCCTTCTCGATATGGTGGCTGTCGCAGAGAAAAATGTTGGGGAGAGTGCGTCACTCTGCGCGTCGGCGGCCGTTCGGCTCAAGGACCGGAGAGGGTCTGGAGTCTGGACTGGAATTGGCCGAGACCTTGGGGACGGGGACCCTTCCTGGCCCGGCGCAACCCGCGACATTGAAGTGCTGGGTGCGCCACGGACGATTCCGGTGCGAACAAGTCGGCCACCAACAAGGCCGAGGTGAATAAAGGGGCGCGGGTGTGCGGCGGCAAACTTTGAGGTTATCACGGCTGCTTGTAGCGCTACCGACCAGCAGACTATCCGGAGACAAGATTCAATGTGCTTATATTCGTCCAGTGAGACGGTTACACATCGTGACCTGGATATACGAAGCCTCGAGTGCAGGCTGTGATTTCAGACTTGGCCAGTGTCAAGAGACCTATTCGCAACGGGTAGTATGGGCTGAGATGAGAGTCAAGGACAGTAGAGTTCAGCATGCAACCATGCCTGCCCATGTGAATGCCAACCAGTTATGCTCTGCCAGAAAGTATAAACAGTTGACATGGTATAAGAATGGGCAGACCGTGTTTTGTATGCTGCGATTGTAAGTCCACCACCAGATATTCTTGTAGGTGCCCCATTTAGTAGTGTATTTGGAGGGGGGGGGGCTGACTTGTGTGTGTCTTGTATTTTTCCCATTTGAGCATTTTTCAGCATAAATATATGTATGTATATGCACGAATGGTGTGACTGGTTGCCACTCACCATTCATGATGGAAAAAAAAAAAAAGGCAATCATGATGTACATAGCATACTCTTCCTAGTTCGTTTCCGGAGCGCCTCGGACTCGTCATCGACGACGATGCGCCTGCACGATATGTAATTTTGGATGTATGTATGGAGTACATCGTACTACTACGTACATACTTTATGTATGTTATACACGTACTGCGTGCAACATCCACGCCGGCCCTACTCCGTACTCCAGGGCGGAAGGATTGACGAAAAAAAAAAAAGCACTTGCTGACGTTGTGCCGAGCTGATTGGACACGGGTTGATGTGAAATTAACTGCGGATCCAAAGACCCAAGTCCCGAACAGGAGGGACCTACGAGGTGGTGCTTCAGTACGCTGTCTGTTGTGCGGAGAGAGAACATTGCATGTACTCCGTACAGAGTACTTGGTCCGGAGGCGTCAATCTGGTTGGGCGTGGCTCACGGTCAGCCCCAAGCTCTGCGTTGCTTCGTGCTTGGTGTATTGACGTGATGCACGTGTCGCCAGTGCTTGGCCAAGGTGGAATAGACTCGAAAAGCCAGTCGAGTCTGGTGCACGAGAATTTGGCCCAACTTGACACCAGATGTACAGACATATGTATGTACGAGCCTGCATGCACTGTGCTGTGCTGTCAGGACCCGAGACTGGACCAGCCAACATTGAACATTGAAGTGACATCTGGACGCTCCCGGCCAAGAGCGGCGCCACCAGCGACTGGGTGCCACCAAACCACATGCAGACGAACTGGCGGCTGGTCCGGATCATCAAAGTCAATTGCCCATGGGCACCGCGTCCCGCCCCTGACGCAATCTCATATCGACCAGGTATTCATTCATGCCTTGTTAAATGAGCCGTACCGATCTTGACCTTGTCTAGTACTAGTAGTAGTACTCCGTATTACCAGACTCCTTGCAGCAGCACGCACACTGCTTGGCTGCCGTCGTGTTGACGCGTGCTTTGGTGCACAGGATTCAACATTGCATGCGAGCATCAAACATTGCAGAGCTCAAGCTGTCAACTGGCCGGTGCGACTTCCTCGCCGACGTCAACTGGTCTCACGTCGCGGTGCTGGCACGCATTGACACTAGACCTGCACTGCACGTTGACAGCTCCATGTCCAGTCTCTCCGCCGGCGGCCTCTGCACTGCACGTGTGGCGCGGCCAAAAAGCAACATTAACATTGAACATTGAACCAGACGCAACGCCTTGCTTGCTTGCCCCAATCGCCTGACCCCAAGTCCACCGCCCAGTTTGTGCCGCAGTGCCTCCACCAGACCAGAACCACCAGAACATGCATGTGTCCAGGGTCAATGTCAATCTGTCGCACCGTTGACGCTTGACCTCCTTGGACCTCCTCATCAGCCCTCTGTCAACCGCCTATCCGGATTCAACGCGTGCTCAAGTGTCCAGCTGTGCTCCGGCCCGCGGGTTTTGTTCATCTTTTCAGCTTCAGAACCCCCCCGTCTTGTCCATGCACACATTGATGGTGAGTACCACTGCTGCGTCCGTCTCTCCTGGGCCGGCGCCTCAATCTTCGTTCCCTCATGGTCAATCCCCTACTTTTTTCATGATCCGCACATCCCTGACCCCCATCTCTCTCCTGAATTTGGCCTCTCCCACGACGGCCATCCTTCTCCCAGTCAAGTCGAGCCCAGCAGACGCATGCCCAATCGTGCACTCGCGCCATTGTATGTTTGCTTTGATCTGCTGTCGTGCCGAGCATCATGTCTGATTCTTGTCCCATCTCGTTCCACCGCTTTTGACCAGAAGAGCTACCGGCTCTCGCCTGCGCTTCCACCTGCTCTCAATTGACCGCTGACCGTCTCTTTCCTCAGAACGAACCTGATTCCCGGTGACTCGATCCAACGCCGCCCAAGCACCCCCTTCCGGCACGTCCGTCTCGCCGCCGATATTGTTGACGCAATCTCCTTGTCCACGGTCTGAACGCACTGGCAACGAGACATGCCCCGCAAGCTGGCAAACCCTTTCTCGACCTCCTCCGCCATGCCATCGTCTGAAAAGACGGGCGAAAGACGTCCCTCGACCTCGAAAGGAAATCGCATTAGCCAATTCTTTTCTTCAAGTCCCAAGTCCAAGGACCACACCGCTGCCCAGCAGGCGCTGCTCGCCATGCAGCAGCAGCAGCAGCAGCAGCAACCCGCTGCGTCACAACAACAGCAGACGCAGGCCAACGGTGTGCCCGCTGGCATCTCGCCTCCCTCCACCTCTCTACCTATAATATCATTGTCCACCGCCGTTGCGGGCGACCACAGCAGCTCTGAACCACCAACCACGACCCTGTTCCGCCCCAAGTCGGCCGAGGAGATGGAGAGAAAGCGACGTGCCGAAGCTCAGTTTGGTCCTCTCTGTCACCCAAGCCACCTCTATGTCAGCAAGTCGCACGGCAGGCCCCTGGAGCCGCCCGTCGAGGACGAGCCTCCATATTACTTCCTCCTGACTACCTACGTTAGCTATCTGCTCCTCATTCTCGTCGGCCACATCTGCGACTTCTTTGGCAAGAGATTTGGCGACAAAAAGCACTATGACTCCCTCAAGGTTCAAAATGGATTTGCTCCGCTCAATGATGACTTCGACAGTTTTTATACCAGACGATTAAAGATGCGACTAGATGATTGCTTTGCCCGACCAACTATTGGCGTTCCTGGAAGATTCATCACTCTAATGGACCGCAAATCCAGCGACAACAACCGCTCCTATCAGTACACTGGCACCTACACCGAGACCCTCAACATGAGCTCCTACAATTACCTAGGATTTGCCCAATCCGAAGGACCCTGCGCCGATGCCGTCGAGGAGTGCGTCAGGCGTTACGGCGTCACCTCGGCCAGTCCGCGTGGCGATGCTGGCACCACTGATTTGGCTCTCGAGGTCGAGCGAGAAGTTGCCTCTTTTGTTGGCAAGCCTGATGCCATGGTCTTTTCCATGGGCTACGTGACCAATGCCAGTTCCTTCCCAGCTTTAGCCTCAAAAGGTTGTCTCATCATCTCTGATGAATTGAACCATGCCTCTATCCGCATTGGAGCCCGTCTTTCCAATGCTGTCATTCAGTCCTTCAAACACAATGACATGTATGATCTGGAAAGGGTTCTGCGAGAAAACATCTCGCAGGGCCAGCCGCGTACCCACCGACCATGGAAGAAGATCTTGGTTGTCGTCGAAGGCTTGTACTCGATGGAAGGCACAATGTGTGACCTGCCGGGTATTCTTGCGCTGAAGAAGAAGTACAAGTTTTATCTCTTTGTCGACGAAGCCCACTCTATCGGTGCTCTGGGACCTCGTGGTCGTGGCGTCTGTGACTACTTCGGCATTGAACCCTCCGAGGTAGATATCCTGATGGGCACCTTGACAAAATCTTTCGGTGCAAACGGTGGCTACATTGCAGCTGAGAAGCACATCATCGATAAGCTGAGAAGCACAAACGCCTCCACTCAATACGGCGAATCACCCGCTCCATGCGTCTTGATGCAAATTTTGGCCTCGTTGAAGCTCATCACGGGTGAATTGTGCCCGGGCCAAGGCGAGGAACGCTTGCAACGCATCGCCTTCAACTCCCGTTACCTCCGTCTCGGCCTCAAGCGTCTCGGCTACATTGTCTATGGCCATGATGATTCACCAATCATCCCCGTCATGCTGTACAACCCTGGAAAGATGCCTGCCTATAGCCGTGAAATGCTCAAGCGCAAGATTTCCGTCGTTGTTGTCGGGTACCCCGCGACCCCTCTGATCAGCTCCCGTGCCCGTTTCTGCGTATCCGCTGCCCACAACAAGGATGATTTGGACAGACTTTTGGCTGCGTGCGACGAAGTTGCGGATGTCATCCAACTCAAGTTCTCTACTGGCGTTGCCGGCGGTCTGGAACCTCTTCCCGCAGGCGTTGACGTTGCCGCTAGTGAAGAGAAGGAATGGAGAAGGGCTAGTGGCATTCCCCTGACTCCTCCCAGATGGAGTATGGAAGATATTGTCCGTTACGGCGTCCGTGATGCCAAGCGGCCCTTGCGGTAGACTATGGCGAGCAGTAGGCAGAGAAAGAACCCTGTGGTACAGTAATTTGGAATGATCGAGTCGACATATTTGGGGCGTTGTTTCTATACGCGATTCACGGGTCGGGCACTCTGAGTGCGGTGTTTTTTTTCTTTTGTCTTTTTCTTCTTCTTCTCGGGCTTCCATGTGGAAATTGACCAATCGCGACTGTACCAGTCTGCAGATGTTGGTGAAAAGCTGCCTTTTCTTGTCCTATTCCACGCTGTGCCGTCCTGTGACCTTGTCTGGCGCCGGCTGATGTATAGGCTGCGCTGATTTCACTGCGGCATTCTCACATATATATATCCTTTATTGCACCTACGGCGAATTGGCTTGTATGGTTAGTCACAAGCCGACAGCAATAATATCATCACTTTGCGGAGGGGAGTGGAGTGGAAGGGTGGTTGAAGAGGAGCAAAGGGCTTGAGACTTTGATAGCGGGGTACAAGATAACGCGGAGAAAGTAGACGATTCCTGAAGACATGGATTGTATATATAGCATACTGGTTTATGACCTACTAGCAAGTCCGGTTGCCACAACTCCAAGCCGACACCAGAGAGGACTGACTAATGAAGTGGCCAAAGGCAAAATGAGTTGATGTTGTGGACTGATATGTGCACCATGTGAATCGAGTTCCAATCTGGTTGGAGCCCAATTCTGTCGTAGCCATATGTACGCCATCATGTTGCCGCAAGACAAGGGCAACGGCAAAATGGACAGAGTGACCCAAGGCATAGAGAGACGGGAGAGATTGTCGAGGCACTTGCAAGCTATCGATGGGATACGGCAATGATCATAGGACTCCTGTCTGAGGCAGTGTGGTCTTGGATAGTCCAATGCCATGGGATGAAACGGCGCGTCCATGTTTAGATGTTTCCATGGCTGAGCATGGGCTTCCCCTCGAGGTTAGATAAGAGAGCTAATGGAACGTCATGAGCCCGGCGCGGAGGCAACCGTATGTTTAAGATGACGAGCGCCGTGAAGCTCTCCTCGCCGTTTGTTGGGCGGCGGCCTCAAGATAGCAGCTGAATCTGAGACGCTGCATGGTCAAACGAGCCTACCTACTATTCACACATACGAAAAAAAAAAGTGGTTGCCATGTTGGCATGTGACGGAGAATGGCGATGGGTGCCCGCACTCGGCAGAGGCAGAGGCAGAGGCAGAGGCAACGTCGATTTTTGGGAGTTTTGGGCTTCTTGCCGCGGGAGACGAGGCGGCGTGGCTTACATAGACACTGGTAGGAGATGGGGTTTCCGCAGTGCGCCGCTGGCGATTGTTCCAGCCTATGACGGAGTTGTGCAGACGGCGATGCGCCGTCTTTTTCAAGACGAGATGATGAGGGAGGGCGGTGACGTGCTCGTGCCGTACGAACCGCCGAGCTGCCAGGGCCGGGACCCGGAAAGGCCAAGGGAGGTGAAGGTGAGGCTGCCTGTTTCACCGTGCTCGGCATTTTGGACGACTCGGAGAATAAAACGACCACCACTACGGAGTACTACCAGCAGACACTGTGGAGCGGGGGGCGTTTCTGCGCAGCGCCTGGCCAGAAAGAAGAGCAGAGACAAGACAAAGGATTTTGGTCCGAGGGATTTAAAAAAAAAAAAGGACGAACTGCAGATGGGGTTTGGAGAGCGGATAGAGACGAGCAAGGCTGGGAAGGACACCAGAGGACCTGAAACGCAGACACGGAGAGCGCGGGCAGGGGATGCGGGAAATTCAGAATCGTCACGGCGCGCGCGGGTGTAAATGGACGCACGACGGGCTGTTTCATGGACCGCCTGTCGCCATTCCCCGGCCCCCCTTCCTCCAGTCTGCAGTCTGCAGTCTGCGGTGGCCAGGGATTGATTGGGAGCGAGCGGGTGTGTTGAAGCCAAGAGTTGGCAAAGATTGGCGAGAAAGATCGAGCATGGGAACGGGGGGAAGCAAGGAAGCAAAATTTTCCTTTTCTTGTTGGGTTCATGGGCGGGCGTGATTCTGAGGGCTGAAAGGCTTAGCTCAAGATGGGGTTCAACGGTCTGGTTCCCTTTGTTCCTTTTTCTTCTTCTTCTTTCAAGTTACAAACATTAAGAGGGATGTTGCCTGGCGGTCTTTGAGAAACAGCAACCCCCACAGACAATGGACGAATCTGTAACGGGTTTGCTTGCCGGCAGTTGGGGATTTTGTGATGCACAGTCAACGGGCTGGATGCACATCCCCCAGACATGAACGTACCTGCTTACTTTACCTCAAGTACTTTAGATAGGTACTTGTCAAAGACCCGTAGCCGCAGGGCATTGCGTTGCTCCGTATTTAATACGGGAGACCTGAGATGGGAACGAGTTTGGCGCGGGTATCAAGAGTCTGGTTGAACCGGAGCAAGAGACGGGGCAGTGCCTCTCGACTGTGGATGAGAGGAGAGCATGATGGATGGCTTGCTTGCCATGTAGGGATTCCAGGCGTTGACTGCGTGTTGATGGCTTTCACTTATACTACATACATGGCACGAATGAAGCCGAGATCACACACGGCAATCGGAGGAGCTTGCGAGGCAAGGAAATGAGAGCAAAGGACCGGCCTAAATGTATAAACTACGCATTTGTTGCCGTCCTCGCTACACGCCTTGTCACGACATCTTCATCCCAGAAACATATCACAAGTCCATCTGCGATTCTCACCTCAAACTAGCAACTGGATAACCATAATCCAGACCCTTGGAGACCCTTGTCCGTTCAAGTTACACAGGGCACCCCCATGTCACATCTGCAGGTCCAACATCGTATTCTTCTACCGCACCGCTAGCATGCAGACGGGAAGGCAAAGGGTATCAGGCCGTGGCGCTTGGCCAGAAACGCGCCGCGTGCAGATGTTGAAGGCACTCTGCCGTGTAGCAGATGTAGGGCAGCAAAGTTGATTCGTTCCTCGGATAGGTTGGTTAAAACACTTTGTTTGGAGGCGTATTTCTCTTTGCTCCGGCCTGCTTGCCCACAGGCATACATATATAGAGCCGTCTCTTCGTAACCTCAAACAAAGAGGCACAAGGCGAATCCACCACACCCCAGATTGGCCGGGGAGCCAGGAACATGGGAAAAGGCCTCTTGTCTGACCCTGGGACGGTTGGGTTGGCGCCGCGGCGACATTGAAGAGTCAAGACGGTGGTGGAGGCCGGCACTTGGCCAAACGCTCGACTTCGTACAGCTTGGCTGACGTTATCCAAGGAATCACTTGGGTAAGCATTCTTGCTCAACCGGGCATTGCTACTATTATGTACAGAGCGTCAGTGATTCTGCTCCGTCTGGTTCAATGTTGCGGGGAAACCTGTCCGAGAGCGTCAAGCCGTTTCCATCCGCATCGGATACCAGCTCCTGGTCTCTCCAGCATCCGAGCAGCTCGAAGGACTCAAAGGGGCCAAAGGATGCACTGGCCATGATGCGCATTTGTGCAGATGCACAGAGTACCCGGTTCATGGTGCCGATGCAACTTTGCATATCATGCATGTAGATGTCGGTCGGTGGTCCAAACTGACATGGAGCGCCCAACATTGAGAACCAGACCTGACCTGCGAGGTGCCAAGAAGGCACCCGCCCTGTGCCTGACCTTGACCCCCCTGCCCTGCCTCCTGCCCCCAGGTGCCCCCTTGCCACCCCCCGCGACCTCCACCTGAGCTGTCTTTTGTTGCACGCACGTATTGACCCTTGAGCGGCGAGGCCTGACAAGCTCGATACTAGTAGTAGTACTCCGTACTGGCATTGGGAATTTTGCACCGAGTCCTTGACCCCAAAAACTGCATACCCCATCTGCATCTGAACGCCTCAACTGCTAGAGCGGACGGCTGCAGCAGATAATGACGCAGGCCTGCGCGGACTCATTGCGAGACCACACGAGGCGCCTCAGTGCTGGCCCCCCCCCGGCCGCCTGGAGAAGCTACTTACTTTACTTTATGTACTTGCTGCCCGCCGCCCCTATCCGCCGATGGCTGGCCAGGTACTCAAGCGCGCAGCCCAATACCACCGGTTGACATCAACCGCTAATAGTACATGTAGTAACTTGTGTACCACCATTGACCACCACAACCACCACCACAACCACCACCACCACCACCGCTACCAGACCAGACCGCCGCTGGCACTCCTTGGCCTGCCTCAATGCCCCAGTCCCGTTCGCCCGCTGCTCTCCCTCCCCCTTTGTCATCTTCAAGCGCCTTTGCTCCACCTCAGCCTGGCCTGTGCACCCGCGAGCCGACTACAGCCAACAATCGCCTTGTCCTCTCGTAACCACGACGGTTCATCATCAAAAACTCAAAACACACCCCCAAGGGCGAGCACGCCTATATTTCCCACATCGCCCTCCCAGCTTCGGACTCTGCTCTCCCCCTTTGCGGTACCTTTGCCTGGCAAGCTCGTCCTCAACATGATGAGCTTCGATGGCGGCACGGCCTACGCCGAGTCCGACGCTGATGACGAGTACGAGCGAAGCATGGGCGACCACTCCCCCGTTGGCGATTCCGAGGCCTCACCCATCGACTCCGAGTTATCGACTTCCGCAGAGCATACGCCCACCACCTACGCACATCGCAGCAGTGCTGACCGATTGCCCGAAACCATCATCACCGAATGGAATGCCGACGAATGTGCCGACTTCATCTCCACCATTGGCCTGCCGCAGTACGCCGATGCCTTTGTTGGTACGTTGACGAACCAGCTCCGGACCACCACTTCTTTCTTTCTGGAAGCCCATCAGCCAGAATCAGAGACCATAATCCATTGTTCCAGAATCTTCACTGACTGAACCGCCGCTTTGTGCGTTTGCTTCCGCAGAAAACGAAATTGTTGGCGAAGCCCTGGTCGCTCTGCAACACGAAGACTTGAAGAGCATGGGCATTGCCAGTGTCGGCCATCGATTGACAATATTAAAAAGCGTCTACGATGTGAAAAAGGCACAAGATGTACCGATTGAGAGCGATCACTACTTCCCGCTGTGTACGGTACCCCTCCGCCTTCTTCCCAACCCTTCAGAAATACCTCGTGCCATCCAGATCAAAGGCCCCCCCTTTCTCCCCACAAAAATAAAGAAAAATGAGCAGATACAAAGGAAATAACCATTTGCTAATTGTCGGATGATACAGCTGCCGATGCTGAAGCTCAATACGCTACAGCCACTCTCAAAGACATCAAGCACCTTGTTGAACAGCTGCGATTACGAGACGAGCGAATGAACTTGTTGGAACAAGACTTGCGACGTATGACGGACGATTTCAGACGGCTCAGGGAAGATATGCTCCCAGCTCTCCGCCTCGTCAAAGACCAGCAGACACCACTGCCAAACCTCAGTGGCGGCGCCCTTGGACAGGGGTTTCCATACGAAGCCACGATATCTCCTCCTGCACCTACACCGCCACCAGGCTCTGGCCCAGGAGGCGTCAAACGACAGTACTCACAACGAAAAATCCTCATAGGCGCAACCCCCAAGAACGCTTCACCTACTCAAGTAGCCCACGACAGGTCCATTGCTGAACAAACGCTGGATCCTTCGAGCGCCGCCGAACGGGCCGTCCTGTCGTCGTCACATCTTGCGGCAATGAACGGACAGACGTCGTCGGCGCATCCCTCACCAAATATGCCCTCTCCAACATCACCGCAAAACTATTCTAGCAGCACTACTTTGGGGGCACGATCCTATCGAGGGGAAACGTCTGCACCGTCAAATCGATCCACAATGAATGATGCGGACCATGGCATGTACATGTCCAGGGACAAAGGTGTTATCCCCCCGGGTCCACCTAGACGCCGCGAGACCCCTGTTCCCGACACCCCGACGCCAAATTCGAATGGATCTTCTGTTGAAATATTCAAATCTTTTCGAGTCAGCATGGATGATCCGTGCTACAAGGTACTCCCGGCAGCGCTCAAGAAGTATCAAATCAACGCCCCGTGGGACCAGTACGCCTTGTACATTGTCTACGGCGACCAAGAGCGGTGTCTTGGCATGGAGGAGAAACCCCTGATTCTGTTTAAGCAACTTGACAAAGAAGGCAAGAAGCCCATGTTTATGCTCCGGAAAACCACAAACGCCCAAGTTGACAACGAACCTGGTAGTGCTGGCATAGCCAATGCAGCCAGAGGGGCGTCCACTGGCTATGATCCACCTGGAGGCATTATATGAGGGCGACGCAGCTGCTGATATGCAGTCTGTTCCGGTAAATGCGGCCAATCGGATTTATTGTGTCAGAGACGGAGGGTATTGCAGTGTTCGCTTCAACGGGCCAGCCAGTTCAAGCGTGTCAAGGAATTGCGCTGGAGAAAGTGAGGAGACCATCCAGCGGACATGAAATTCCCCAAAGGTGCTTGCTTGTGCAGGTGGCAGTTGCTACGAGCTTCCGCATGATTGATGGTCTGGGACACGATAGTCTCGAAGATTTGCGGGCTCGTGCTACTCTGAGGCTTTTGGAAGCTGCACCCATGGCACATTTCGACTACATGGGGTGGCTTTTGCGCCTCGAGATGCCAAACCCCTCTGAAGCCTACTCCAACCTACTTGACGCTAACCTCAGCCATTCCTTCTGGCACACTATACTACTCCTCATACCACCCGTGCACCCCTTGGCATATTTCTACACGTCTTCTTCTTCCTCTTTTTTTTTTTTTTTTTTTTTTTTTTTTTCCTTTTTTTTTTTTTTTTTTGTTTTTTTTAGCACTTGTTGTTTACGCGAACATACCTTGCATAGCAGCTCTGGCATTGATTGACCCTCACTCCACACCTCTCTGTCATGTTGACAAGAAAATTAAGTGATTGGTTATCTTGATTGGATGGGACAAAGGAAAGGCGTTTGGGCTGGGCAAAGTTGAATAGTACATGATGTATGACGTCTGCGGCAGAAATTGGGTTCTTTTTGTTCTCTTTTTGAATACACTTTACCATTCCGATGAAAGAAGTTGCCTGGTAACATAATACACGTGGGAAGTAACGGAATGACAAGTTGGATAGAGGATGCGGCAGGGTGTACGGCTGAAAAGGACAAGGACGTACAATGACATTGGACTAATACCTGAATGGAAAAGTCGATGACGGGGCTCGCGTGTGGCCTTGGCTCTTCTACATTATGGACTATGGACTACAGGGAATGCCATGTGCGTCGATTGAATGCACGCCATTGCATGTAGAGATGATTTGGAGTGCCGAGAGCTAACGACTCCAGACGTCCCAGGAGACGTCCATGCGAAAAACCCACCTGCAGCATTGAGCGGGAGCCTCCAATAAAACACCAGACGCCTGCCTTGCCATCATGGCGCAGTGTGATGGATGGCCCCATGTCCCGACTAATGGGAAGCAGCCCGACGCGACCCTCACACCCAGAACAGGATCTCGATGGTACTTGACGTGATGGACGTATTTGAAGTTGACAGTGTATGGAATCATGGATATGGGACAAGAGGACATCTGGATGAAGCGGACTTTTCGGCGTTTTGCCATGGCACCCGTGGACCACGCTGGGCCAGTATTCACAGCTACTAGTAGTTTCCGTCAATGGAGGCGGCGGGGAGAGGCGGATGCCATTGATTGATCGCCGATTGCCTGCAGTCCGGCCGGTAGTCTATCGACGGTGGGCGCATTCTAACTTTAACTTTGCACCTGGGCGGACCGGTCGAGTGTCTGGACAGTGGGCAGACCCCAGGCCGTCATTCACCATTCATCATTCATCATTCATTCCCCTGGCCGCACCAAACTCGGGCCTCCTCAACTCGGATCTAGGCATCAAATTCTTCCGGCCCATTTTATCCTTGGATTGATGCGGGTTATTCCCGAGCCTGCACGACGGCTACGAGGGAGAGATTAGAGTAGAGGTTCACGGTTAACTGGTACGACGAGGGTCGGTGGCCAAGCCGCCGCCGTCCATCTGCATCTGCAACCCTCTTTTCTCGCGTCGAGGTAATTGGCGCTGCAAAGGAGGCTTCGCATCGCCCGCAAGCACAGTCGTCGCCAACGCCCTCTGATACGCGCATCCGAGGCGGGCGGTCAATGGTCATAACCGCTCTCTGCCCAACACATCCATCCATCCACCTTCCGGAACTGACAGCCGTGGTCTGGGACAAGAGATTCCGTCTCCAGATTGTCCCATGGGGGAAGGGGAGGGACGCACGACCTGCCTCCTCCATTCACCTTCCACCGACCAGCGTCAGTCAGTCTTCTGAATTGCGCCCGGGGCACAGGAACGCCCAGCATTTGACTTTTTGCGCAACCGCTCAAAACCAACGGCATGAGTGCGGCGACGTTGGACCCGTCGTCATCGAACCCCGTTCCGCCTGCCTGCGATTACCATCACTCATGACCGGATAGGCAAATTGTTCAACAGTTTTTTTTTTTTTTTTTCACGTAGACAAGTTTTGCCCCTGGCCTTAGTTGCCAGGGCGTTATACACCACCCACTGACATATACGCATCACTATCAGACGAGAGACATCTACAAGAATCGGAGAGCGGGGCCGAGAAGGCAGGAGAAATAGAAGAACAGAAAGAAGAATAGAGAAGGGCGAGGGGTGGAGCACAGGTCCGAGGAATCAGCAACCATGACGAGCACAAACTTCACCAGCGGCACCGCGTCGGTTGCGACCACGCCGTCGACCACGCCGACGCCGACGCCAACCTCGTCGGGGGGCGTGCCTACAACGTGGCCCTCGACCACGTACACGCTGCCGACGATGACGTCTTGGGGATCAACGCCAAACGGGTTCGGCGACTTCAATGTCGGCGACAGGATCTTGCAGCTCGTCACTAGCGGGTCGAATGGCGAGAAGATTGTTCGCGGCTTTCTTATGGGCGTTGCCATCGGCATCATTCTGGGCGGCGCGGTCTGCTGCTGGGTTCCGTGTTTCGGGAGAGGCAGGCAGCAACGGCGTGAAAGGAGGAGACAGCAACGAGGGCAGGCCCAACCACAGGGCCGTGATGAAGCGCAGCAGCATCAAGGCGGCCAGACGGACGGCCAGACGGACGGCCAGGCGACGACGGTAGCAGCACCTCAGACCGAAGATGCGCCGGCCGCGGAGAGGAGCTACATACGTCTGCGTTGGCATCGACTTCGACGGCGGCAAAGGGTTTAACCGGGGACGGCGGAATTGCGCTGGCCATGGCTGTGTGCAGTTCTTGCCCATGGGATGGAATACTCTTTAGCGGATATGTTCTTATCAGTCACAAGACACAAGATGGTCTTTTTTTTTTTCATCTTCATGGTGTGGCCAGGGTTGGTTTGAATACAATGGCGTTTTAGGGCACTACGGGAGCGGATACAGCGTTTTAATGACACTCGCACGAAGACTTATACACAGCAGCGGAGCGTGATGAGAGCACTTTTAGGACATTACACGTTTAGAAAAGATAGAAAGAAAATGTCAACCATTATTCAAAGTCGCTCGTGGCTCTGCCGAGCCCTGCAGAAGGCTGACGCTTCCTGGTCGCGTGCCACGACAGCATGGCCAAGGACAGTGCGTGACATGTCGGGGGTGCTCCTCGTGACCCTTTTGCCCGGCGAGCAGCAGAAGTAGAGCCGGCAGTACAAGCACGGCGTGAGGCTCAGGCAAAAAACAGAAATCCCACGAAATTGCCTGGGGTATTCCAAAAAAATAATAAAAATAAAACAAAACACATGTGGTGAGGCACGGGCCGCTGGCCTCGCCACATGAAGCACAAAGGAGGGCCCTCAGCCCCGACTGCCACGTGTGACGGATTCGTCAGAGTAAGACGATGCTGTCGGTCTCGAGTTCATGCCGTGCCCCGGGCGCGTCTGGACAGCGACAAGGCTGTGAGGAAGGGTCGTCATGGCACAGCCTCGGAATGCGACGATGGACGTTGTGGCCAAGACGCTGGGAGTCGGAGTCGCTGGTGGCGCAGCCCAGAGCAAATGACGTACCTAATGTATCACTCCTTTTTCCACATTGGCTGTACGGAGTGGCCCGTCAACTGGTACCTTTTCCTGCTTTACGGAGCTTAGTAGTACGATAGTATGTACATGCGCTGACAGAACCCCACCATCAATGATGGATCCTGCTGCGGGCCACTGGTGAGCAGTTGACGTGCGCGGGCGGCTGCGCGTCAGTTTCCGGAGTCGAACATGCTCTCAACATCCCTGTCCATCCTGCAACGCAGTTGTGCTCTTGTTTCCATCTTTAGCGGGCGTGTGCCGTCTCTCTTTTCCCTCTCGGCATCTTGGTGAGCTTGGTCTTTTCTTTCTCTCTTAAATATTTCGTAACCTAGCGCTTGACGGCAACGACGCCCCTACAAACTACAACCATAAAACGCATACCACGCACTGCACTGCACGGCCTCATTTCCCTCGGACCAGGCAGAGACGTTGACCGGCACGCCGCCGCAAGCTTCGCGACAAAGATGCTCGACGATAACCTCCCCACGTTTCGACTCCGGCAATCCTCCGACAACCCCCAGAACACCCTGCTCTACTTCACGCACAACGGATCCGAGCCCTCGCCCGAATACCTGCTGAAGCGACCGCTGCCGTCCGAGTCCCGGAACCAGTACGCCCTCGGCCTGCTCGACGTGAATCACCCCTCTGTGATATACGCCGAAGTTCTGCTCCAGCCCGAATGGACCCAGCCGAGTCTGTCGGCTGCCGAGCTACGGGCCCAGAATGGCGTTTCGACGCCCCTCCCCATGACGCCGGAGGCTTTCAACGTGCTGCTGTATAATCCGGACCAGAGCATCGCCGTCAAGCGAAACCATGGCAGCTGGAGCAAGTCCAACACGTGGGACTTTGAGGTCCCCGAGCGGAGCTTCAAGGTGCCCAGCTCGAGCCAGATCGATAGGGACACCACGCCTGCCATTCCGGAGCTGGCCCCCAAGGTGGTGTTTCGGTGGAAAAAGGACGGCCGCCTGAGCAAAGACATGACTTGTTACATGTCTGGGAGAAGTGTGGGCGGGAAGAAGAGCAAGGAGCCCGACATCACGATTGCCATGTTCCAGGCGGGAAAGAATGAGAGCGCCGTGACGATTTACGAACCCAACATGGCTCGTGTCGAGGTCGAGGACCGCAAAGGCCTCGAAGTCGCCCTGATACTGAGCGCCGAAGTCATCCGCGACCTGTATCTCGTCCCGCGGCAGGACCCGTTCAACACGGCAGGCGGACCGGGGCCATCTGCTCCAAAGACGTCGAGGCCATCGGCGTCGCCGCCGCAACAGATGCCCATGGCGTCTGGGGCTCTGGGCCCCGGAGTCTCCCCCGCCGGTCCAGGAGCCAGCCCTTCGGCCCTGCAATCAAGTGTCGACGCCGAGACGAGACGTCTGCAAGCCATGGTGGCGGAGGAAACGCGCCAGACACGAGAGCGCGAGAAACGAGACGAGGAGGAGCAGAAGAGGATCCGAAAGATGCTTGAGCAAGAGGAAAAGGAGCGTCGCAGACGCGAGGCCGAGGTCGAAAAGGAGACGGAGCGTCTGCGCAAGCAATACGGCGTCCCGGCACCCCCCAACGGAGGACCGCCCGGCTCTTCGCCAGCGCTTCCTCCACGGCCCGGTCAAAATCAGTACTACGCCTCGGGCGGTCTGGGCTCGGGACAACCGCCCATGCCCCCGCGTCCCAATAGCGTGGGACCTCCGCCGCAGCCGGAATCGTCGAATGCCGGTGGCAGGAGGAAGCATTCGGGTCCATTTGGGGGAAGCGTCAGCGGGCTCTTCCATAGATCTGACGAGGACAGGCGGAACAAGGTGGAGAAGAAGAGGAGTGTGCACTTCTGAGACGGGCGGTTGTATTTTTCTTCTTCTCCTTTTCATTGAGGAGTGGTGTCTGCATGGCTAGCGGTATTTTTTGTTCTTGTCGTATTTTGGTCATTTGGATGGGTATACCTTGGGTTAATTGTATGACGACTTGATATGAAGATGGTTTCGACAATGTCGAGTGTGTATAGCGACTTTGGAGATTTCGCAAGAGCACGGTATGCGGCGGAATTATACTTGGCGTGGCCCCTTTACGCTGGCTTTTTCTCGTGTTACTAGCCTGACGTGCTGCCCTGCCCGGGATACTCGTCTCTGCAAGTACCCGGGTTTTGTAGGCCGTCGTCACTGATACGTGTGACGGGTGTTTACTTGCGGTGCTCCATGTCGTCTTTCTTTGTTGGGAGACACGTCTGGCCGGTCTTGGCGACGCTGTATGTATGAGGTGCTGCCGGCTGGGGGCCTATCTGTCGCCTGGTCAGGACCTGGCGCGATTCGGGCCTCGCTGCGAAATTCACAACGGGACACATGGCTGGGATGCGTGCATCACCGGGCTCTGGTCACCCCTGGCTGTTGTATCGTGTGTCTGCGCGTCGGCGGCCCTTGGCGCCTGGTTCGTCCCCCGCTGCCGCGTCATGTCTCGCAGCTCAAGCGTGGGCGTCTTGCGCGGGGGGGATTGCGCGCGCCGCGTCTGGATGTACGTGAGGTCGCTGGCGAACATGGTAGCGTTTTGGCGCGGCAAGCGCCGTGGTGTTGTTGCGCGGGGGATTTGTACTTGACGCGTCGAGTCACGTCTTATATAAATTGTTCGCGGGGTGGCATGCAAGCTATAGGCCGTGAATAGCGCCACCTTTTTTTTGTTTTGGAACTGTTGGGACTCGCGGCGACGCTGCACACCCCTTGCTGGCTGGGAACATTGGATTGTTGCATTTTTCATGCGTGGACGGCATATTCTGGACGTGAGCGTGTTGGATTGTATTTCCGGGGAGCGCTGTGTGCGGTCTTGTCTGTGGGTGAGGCGGATACGGGCATGTCTCATGAGTCTGAGAATTCGGACGGCCGGCTTGTCCATTCTGACGCTATTCCTTTTGACCGATTTTGCGGGACTCTGGCAATGAATGAATAGACCTATTGGACAGGAAGCGACATGTAATGCAAGAGGTACTCCGTACTCGGGATGTATAATGTCGGGGTGACCTGGGGACCAGACCGTCGAATCATCCACCACGACACGATGGTAAAACGTGCATTCATTTCATTGCTACATGTTGTATAGTATATAAATCCGACCTGGACAGTCTGATGCGCCGGTGTCGATAAAGATGATGCGACGCCGCGATGGCTCATTTCCCTACCTCCAAACGCCCATAGATATGCATGACTGCTCTGCTCCGTCCAAAGCAACCCGCTCTCTCTTCCCATCCCGTGTGCGTAAATTACCATTGGCCGTCTCCAGTCACCTGCCCTTGATCTTTTCCAGTTTCAAGTCATTAATCAGCATATATCTGCTGAATGCGATATAAAAGTACCTAAACCAAACCATCTGGCTCCTGTGCGCCTGCGTCATGGCGCCCCATGCCGTCGGCAGCCCGCCCTCGCCGACGAGCTGGTTCATAAAGACGAGGCCGCCCGGGTGCGCCTTGTCCTCGTGCCGCACACCAACCGCCCACGAGGCCATGGTCGCAAAGACGTCGAGGAACGCCGAGTACTTTCGCAGAATGTTGACGGAGCGGAGCGTGTAGAGGTCGACCGGGCAGGCCCAGCCAGACTTGCCGCGCATCAGGGCGCCCACGAAGGCGCGGGCGCCGTGGAACAGGGAAATGTGGTTGGGGTGCGACGACACGCCGCTGCCGTCGAAGGTGATGAGCACGTCAATGTTGGCGGTTGGCTTGGCCGAGTCGTCGGCTCGCTGGCGGCCGAGCTGCGGCGCAAAGGCGCTGCACAGCAGAGTCGCGATTCGGGATTCGTCCCATTTCGCAGTCATGGAGTCGGGAAAGTCGGCGCTAGAGCGACAAGACGAGATGTTAGCCGATGGAGGTCATCCCAAGGGTACCATGGGCGTGGTCATGATGGAAAACATACGGGTTGTCCACTACGAAGACATCATCCTCGTCCCTCAAACCCAGGTGCATGCCACTCTTTACGAGTTCCTTCTTTCTAGTCTCTCCAAGGCCGTCCGCGTTGCCTGCAAATACGATTAAAAAAAAAGGAGTTGCGTTAGTGCCTGCTTGCGCCATTGGCTCCCACGAGGGCATGGAGGCTGTTCGTACCTGTGCTCAAACACAGAATCTTGACGTGGTTTCCAGTCTCGGGCCGGGTCAAGGCCAGGATGGTCGGAGCAAAGAACATGGCCTCGTCGTCGGGGTGGGCAATGAGCAAGCAAATGCGCTTGTTCCGCACGGCCGGGAAGCGCGACTGCACGACGCTGACGGTGTACATGTACAAAACAGGAATCACCACCACCAGGGTCGCCAGAAGACCGAGGGTACGGTCCATCCCGGCGGCAGAGGGTTGGTGGTGATTTGTTGAGGGGGTCCGGACGGGCTGCGTTCAGAGAGGGTCGAGGCTCATGTATCGATCGACTGTGGAAGACGACGAGACGGTTGAGCGGTTGAAACTTGACAGCGCGGAAGCGCGGAGGGGCGCAAAGGCTGCCGCCACGTTTGCGACGTGCAGGGAAAGGAGCTTCAATCTTGGGAGCTTGGGAGCTTGGGAGCTTGGGAGCTTGCTTGTCTTGCCTGTCTTGCTTCAATGGCACTCGAGAATGCCGTCGATGTCGAGGAGCCGAGTACGGCCACAACAACAACAAGGGAGCACGCGATAGAATGAGAGTGGGCAGACGTACTCCGTACAATGTAAAATGCCACCTTGCGACTTTGGTCAACTTGGCCATTCCGGACCCTGTCCTCTTTTTTCTCTCGTGAGTCCAGGCGGCTGCTCAGCCCCTGGCTGGTTGAGCAAGGTCCGGTCCAAGGTCCAGCTCCAACAGCCGTCAAATTGGACCAGACCAGACATTGATCAATCATCAATTGATTCTGCGTGCTAGCCGCTTTCTGATTAGGAGCTTGTCCGGGGAATTCTTATTAGGGGACCAACAACCGCCAGGGGACCAATGGATCGCCGTGGCCAAGCCAAAGACATTGTACAAAGTACGGAGAGAGTACTTGGAGAAAGGGGAAAGGAAAGGCTGATAGCCACGTACTTACATCTAAGTACAATACATGCAGAATACACACAGTCAGTCATGGTACAAAGGATCAAAAAGCTCCATCAGGTCCATCAGGTACGGAGTACATAAAGCACCAATTGCTTGCATGAACCAACGTGGGTATTTCTATCGCTGTCTTCTCCGTACTAAGTACTCAAGTACTGCTCTTCCCCCTGGCTGGCACATTCGGGCTGGTGCAGCGTAATACGTACCACCGTTGGCATGTACATGTCCCCCTTCAATGGTCAAGTATTGACTTGACTGTGGTCGTTTCTCGAGGTCGTTTGTCCGATGGTGCGGTCTGGCGCTGCTGATTGGCGGTGCCATCTGTCCAGTCCGCCGATGTCAGTGCCGCCAATCTCCCAGGCACCACAAGTTCAATCTTGACTTGAGTCTAGCTCAGCATCGTGCAACTACAACGTCACGAGACACAACTTCAATTACTCCAAAGTCCCTCCCACAGTGCGCGCTTCCACTCTCGACTAGCCAATTGTGCCAACCATCCATCCCTTGTCCGGATCAACAACTGTCGACCGATTGGGTTCTGCTGCGCCTGGGAACAGACATCATCATCACGATTCACCATGGTCAAAACACGCAAGGAGCGAGCTGGCAATGCCCACGTCAAGCTCCGCCAGCCTGATCGGTCTGGGCCAACAGAAAAGACTCTACTCGACTTTGCCCACGAGCAGAATTTATTTCAGCAGGTCCAGCAGCGGGAGAAGGAGATGGCAAAGGAGAGGAGAAAGCAAAGCATCGCAGACGGTGATGATGACGACGGCGAAGTTCCTACCTTGTCTCCCGGTGCAGAGCGAGCCCTCGAAGCTGCTTTATGGACCGCTACCATTGCTATGCTTCACTTCACCTTTGACGTGCTGGTGCAGCATCAGTATGGGCAGGAGATTAGCTGGGCGCATGTCTGCACAAGAACAGGCCGTGCCTGGCTAGGTACGATTTGCCCTCAATTTCCTCATGAAGCACCTGCATCGATTTTGACAGGATTAACTAACCTTTTTTTTGTTGCCCAGTTTTTCTATTTTTATTTTATTTCCTCCACCCATTCGAATCCGATGCTGTCTTGTTGCCAGGGCTGCCGAGCCGATATCAGCGGCCGCTAAGACAATCAATCTTCTTCATAATGGGCGTTGCGTCAGGATGCTATCTCATTTATATTTCCAACACCTATGGGTATTTGGCTACAATGAAGCAAGCACCGCCGCTGGGATGTTTGTGGCTCTGGGCTGTTGTGGAATTGGACCTCGTCTGGGGCTGCCTCAGTCTGCTGCTTGCTGCAGTCTTCCTCAAGCAAGGAGGCTACGAAATTAAATAGAGAACGCCAGACCGGAAGAGATGATTTAGGCTGACATTTGCCAATTTTCGTCATCTAGTGCTACTACAGATACACGGCGGTTTCCTGCGTACGGATTCGTGGTCAGATTTTCAGGGCTATCCAACCGGACTGCATCCCGACCATGGACGAGAAGTTGTTGCACTAGGGTTTCCAGACGGTTGTACTCGCCCTTGCGACTTTCGACTACTCCATCCATCTTTCTTGAATTCTCATCTGCCTTGAATTCTCCCCACTTCGTCCTCGCCTCCAGGTCACTCAGACGAGACGAAATCATGCTCATCTGAAGAAACTGCACCCTTGCAGTCAATGCCTCCCGCTGCCGCACGAGCTCCAGCGCCTTGGTCCGCACCGACATCCAGGCCATGCCGACAGAGGGGGTGCTTCGCTGCCAGCTCGGCACCAGTGTCCACCGATCATCTCGATTGCCTGGTCCTCGCGGTGTGCTGGCCTTGGACTCGACTTCTGTCACAAGGTCCAATAGCCGTTGCTCTAGGTTAATCAGATCCTCCATGACAAAGCTGTACATCTGATATTCCCTTTGGCGGCTATGAGCACCACCGTCATGTGCGTACTGGACCCCCAATGTTCTCAAAAGGTCGCTGAGCCACGTAGACTCAGTTTTGTACCACGACAGCGAGGTCTTGACTCGGAAGTATTCTTCATCGCTGTTGCGGAGATAGTTGAGACGCGCGTATATTGCTGCTGCAATGGCAACGACAAAGGTCAAAATGCCGACAATGTTGGATGTAGTTGAGAGCGGCGAGTCTTGCTGGGCATTGGAGTCCATTCCGGCTGAGACCAGGCGGGACCAAAACGATTTGCCATGTGCAATGATGATGGCCAGGACGAATCTCACTGTAAGCTCGTGGCAATGAAACAAAATGGCCGTGGGGCTAGTACGGTCAATAGCTGCGTTTTAACTCATGGCGTATGAAGGGGCATTCGGTGTCCCCTGAGATGCATGCACAAAAAGTCCATCTCGGCAAGGATCGTGCAGCGGCCAGAGGAGGTAGGCTCTCAGCTCTTGCTCATCACGTGACTTGATGTTGTTCAGAAGTACATACACATCTCGGCTCCGGGTTGGTACAACGTAGATGCGTTTTGTGTCGTGTCATGAATATATGAGATTGTGGAACTCATGGACTGGGCCTGTCCTGCTGGGGTGTTTGGCATGTTGCGCGAGACGTGAGGCACATGAACACAAAGCTGTGCCAAGGCAACAAAACAACTGGACCCGTTTACCGAGATATTGAGAAAGCAAGCCCATGTGAAAGACGGCAAGGGCCTCCTCGTGTTGTTGTGCTCGATGATTTGATGAGAAGACTTGGCCAAATTGCGAAATTTTTTAAGAATGGTCTTGTTGAATTCAAGAGGGGGAGGGACATTGGCGACTGCTTGTACTCGTTGCCAACATTGAATACATGGGATGTAGCTGCCAGCTGTGATACCACTATTACTACTTAAGTAGTATTGAGTTATGTAGCAGACGGTGAAGAGCTGGGTCTTGGAAAACCGCCCTCAGTTGCCAACGACTGCAGGGATACTTGAGGCTATATAGCCTCTTTGGGGTCTGGTGATGGAACAGAGGTTCGCAGACTTAGGGGTACTACAAAGAATCAATCGACGGTACGTACCTAGGTACGCAGCAAGTCACTGGCTCAAGTCATTCAGCGATTGAAGCAAGTGCATTGTACTACAGGATGATGGCTCAATTTGACCTCGCGCGTAAATATACATTTACTGATATAATTATAAATGCCTCGTATAAATTCGCTATGCAACGCGTATGCATCCACCATGTATGCCTAACCATCCTCATAATCTCACACTTCTACCGCCGCATGGTGCAACCTGACCGTATACCAAGGACGGCGAAAATATTCTTGTGAAATGAAAACATGGAAACAAATCTATACCCTCTTCGCAACACGACTCACGTAGCCTTTCTCTGGGGCTCTGCAAATCGAATGCCTTTCCTCGCGGGGGGGACTCTCTCCGTTCCTTCGTCCTCAGAGTCGCTGTCTTCCTCAGCCGCGGGGCCACCCATTCCCAAGGCCGCCTGGCGTCGGCGTCTTTCTGCAGGTGTTTCGCCAGTATCGTCATTTCCCTTGTCGTCGTCTTCAGCCTGACGGGTAAGGACTGCCAGCCGGCGTCTGCGCTCAACACTGGTCTCGCCTTGTTCCTCGGATGGATGGTCGCGTCGACCGCGAGGAGGCTCGGTGACTTGGGGTTGCTTTCGAGTCGGTGACATGGATACGGAACGTTTTTCTGCAGCACGGCTGCTTTCCCCGTTGCTGCTGCCACTGCCACTGCCACTGCCACTCTCGCTGTCATGTTCCCGAATTACTGGAACCGGACGCTGTGACTGAGTAATCTTGGGTTCCACAGGCGCGTCTTGTCTGGCAATGGACTTGAGGGCATTCGAGGCGGTAGATTGGTCGATAACTTCGTTGCGAGTACCGGCGTCTAGCTTCTGGACTTCTCTGATAAAGTCCTCCTTGGTCATGCGCCTACCAACACCGCCAATGGTGAATCTGATTTTCTTATCGTCGTCGTCATCCTGCTGTTGTTGGGCGACGCTTTTGCGCCTAACCCCGTCACCACGTTGACCAAAGCCAGCCCAGCCAGGTTTGAATTGCGCCTTGTTTGATGATTCGACGCCTGCCTGGCCTTCTTCCGCTGCAGCGGCAGTATTTTTTTCGCTTGGACGGGCGCGAGCACCGAGGCCAAGATACTTGAGGCTTGCACCAATCAGATCGCTCTCCTGCCCGTCAGGCTTGGACGAAGGCAGCTCGTAGGTCTTGACGACCTCGCCGTCTTCATCCTCGACAATAATCTAAAGCAAAAGGGTCAGTGGCCGCCACCAAACACACACACAAAGCATGGAATTGGCGCAGGGAACTTACGGTGTTGCCAAATTGGTAGGCACGGGCTGGCTCATGTCGACGATCGCTCTTGCCTTTGTCCTTGCGCTTCTCCAGTTCCGACGTGTAATATTCGCTCATCTTACGACGCCAACCTCCATGTCGCCAGCTAGACGATGCTTCACCCTCTGGTTTGGAACTGGCAGGTTGGTCTTCTTTCTTCGTCTTCGAATTTCGCTCCTGTTCCCCTTGCGGAGTAGGCTGCATGTCGATCACGTCGCCATCTTCGTTCTCAAACACAAGATGGCTGCCTTCATCATAAACATTAATTTGAGGTGAGTGATCACGAGGAGATTCACCGTGCTCATCCGTTTCACCCTGCTTCTCAGTACGTTGCTCGTCGGAGAACATGGTAGAGTCAGTAGTCTCCCGCGTTGGCGACGATGGCTCCTTCTCTGATGCCTCGGTTTGCGAAGGTCTGTTAGGGAAGATGGCTGACTGGCTGATCGGTCCTCCAGGCCCAATTCCATCATCCCACTTTTTGTGTTTTCGTTTCCTGGATACAAGTGAGGAGGCACGACTGCCTGATCGACTATGTCCCTCCTCGTCTCTCTGCCGGCGCAAGAATCCCGTTGGTGGAGCAAGTGTGCCAGGTGGAAACTCTGGATCTTTGAGATCATCAAGCGAGGTCTCTGACATGGTCTTGGCCATGGACCTAGACTGCGATGATATTCTGGGCAACCTGTTCATCCACGAAGGGCCATCATCTGGAGCCGCAGTGTATGACATGGTCAGCGTCAAGGTGTTGATCCGCTTTCCTAGAGTGAAGACGGCTATTGACGACCCATGGATGAGAATGGACGAGATGACGAGAAACGTCACAATAGGCCATACAAGGTAGATAAGAGCAAAATGAGGTGCACTTGGTGGAGGCAATTCTCCCAAAGGCACTGGCTCATCATGCTCCAATTCCGCTCGTGCAAGAATGGCGACAAAGATCGCGCCGACGCCTATGGGGCCAAAATGTCCTGCAAAGAGCGCCTCTCTCCAATTCTTAACATCGGGTATGAATGGTTTGAGTGCCATCATGATGGGAATGCGGCGGAAAAGAAGAACAAATATGGCAATAACGACGAGACGCCACGCTGCCATACCGAATGCACCGTCGTTGTACTGTTCCCAGGGAATAATGGTGCCGAAATAAACAAAGTAAGTCAAGTTGAGCAGCAAGTCAATAACGTTGGACACATGTGACTCCTCCGTCTTTTCCCCAAACCATCCGTCGTTGGAAAAGCCGACACCGGCTGCAAAGCCAACCAAGAGATCGTCCACGCCGAGAATACTGCCCGAGCCAGCGCAGAACAGGGCTACGACAAAGTAGAAGACAAGAAAGCTTTCGCGGTCGATCAAATCGTGGGACTCGGCATACTTGATGCCGTGACGAGCAATGTAGCCAATAAGGAAGCCATAGACAGCGCCAAAGATGCACTCGTACAAAACGACATAGACGACAAAGTGAAAACTGACTTCTCCGGCATTTCTGTTGTATTGGATGAGAAAGAGAGACAGGTAGATGAAGGGGAACGCCATGCCATCATTGCACCCGGACTCGGCAGAGAGAAGATCTCGCAAATGCTTCGGGACCCGTTTCGCAAACTTGCCTTTACCAACAACGGATGAGGCCAGAACAGGGTCAGTAGCAGTTACGCATGCTGCAACAACGAGAGAGTCAAGCCAGTTCAGACCCGGCATCATCCACCATACAAATAAGCTGGTAAGAAGCCATCCTACGGTCATGACCGGGACTAGAAGGAAAATGACGGATTTCCAGTGCTTCTCCATGTAAAATTTTGGAAGTTCAACACCGACGGCGAAACACTGAACGACGAGGACAATACGAGAGAATTCAACGGTGACAATATCGGTATTGCCCCAAGAATTGGGGTCAATAAGATTGGCAACGTGAGGTCCAAAGATGACACCGCATAATGTAGCAACGGTAGCTTCACCAATATACATGCGCTCTTTGATGAAGGAAGAGCAGAGCATGAACAGCGATGTAAAGCCACCAAGAATGATATACACCAAGTGCGGCTTGGTGATATCAAGTTGCTC